AGGGGGGGGGGGGGATGGGGGAGAGACAGTGAGGCCAACGGTGCTTCTGCTGCTCAGAGACTTCGCGCATCTTGCGCCCCTGCCGTCGAGCCCCAACCACGAAGGGCGAGTGACCATCGGATGGCCTGGCGTGGCCGGGCAGGGGCACGCGTCCCCTTCTCATCTCTGCTGTTCTCTGCTGTTCCTTGGGAACAAAAGTGGAGGGTCTGGGGAAAGGGGGGGGGCCCTACCCCCACCTGGCCTCCCCCTCGGCAGAGAGGCCTCCCTGGAACAAAGGAGCCAGGGAGGCGCACGGCTTGCGTGACCCCCCTTAATGCTCCCCGCCTCCCCGTGCAGCAGGCTGCTCCTCCTGGGGAAGTTAACCAGCCCCTCCATATGCCAAGGCTCCGAGGGGGGGCTTTGTGAGTCAATTAAGCCTCTCCATGGGGGGGGCGGAGAAGGAGGCATTCTTGCAGCCCAAAGCTATTCCCATGGAGATGAGCCGGCCGGCCGGCCAAAGCTGGGGATGCACTCCTCCGCCTCCAGTCGTCAGCAGCACTCGCCAATTCTGGCTTTACCTCCCCCAGGGACCCCTTGGGCGCCCCTCTGCTCCCCCCACCCCACTCTCAGCCTCTGGATATTTCACGGATTTATACGAGCGCTTTGGGAGAGCCAGCTGCAAAGAGCGTGGAGTCCCCGTTGCCATCGAACGCGAGGCCAAGGCTTTCCGGAGCAGACGGGGCGACCTCCGGGCCCTGCCGCATCGGGGCAGCCGGTTCGCAAGCAGATGGCTACTCTGGGGGCAGCGGAGCAGAAGTGGCCACTTTCCGCCCATGAGACGAAAGGGAGGGAGGGACGGCTTCGGCCGTCCTTGCTTGCTTTCAAGCTCCTCCGAGAACGGCCGGCCAAAGATATCCAGTCCCCCAAAGAGACCAGCCTGGTTTGACCTCCTTGGTATCCTGACCGGTCAGTCGTCCCCAGACCTCAGGGTCCGCCACCTTTGGCAGCAGCTCCAGTGAGGTGGGGGACAGGGGTCAGAAAGTCCCACTGGAAGAGCAGACCCTGGAACGGCAGATCCAGGCCGTTGCTTATTACACTTCCTGCCAAATACGGGCTGAAGGGAACCGTCCTGCGCTGTGAAGCCCGCTCTTAGGGCCGTCTGTCCACCCCTTCTCTGCTTCGGAGGGAGAACTCGGACTTCGAAGAGTGGGCAAAGAAGTGTGCGCGGTCCCTTCTCTCCCAGGATTTATGTCATTGGAGGAAAACAGCTGAATTGCCACCAAAAATGCCGCCACTTTCCCCCTGCAGTCCCTTGCCAAGGTCCACCGACTATCGATGAGAATACCGCCCTTGCAACGTGCTTCATCTTTGCGCCTTTGATCGCTGCGGTCAGTGGAGCGTGCGGCAGTTCTTAAAAAGCAGTGGCATTTTTCTTCCCATTCAGGTAGGTCAAAAGAGTCAAGATGGCAGCCACAACTGAGCAATCTAAGCACGAGAATGCACGTAAAGAAAGGGGGGGCTTCAATCCCATGGTTGTGGCCACTCTTGATTCTTTCGACTCCCTCCCTGAAGCCCCCTGGCTGAGCTTCAGTTTCATCCCTTTAGTTAGCAGCCCGCCCTTGAACATGGGGAGAGAGCCCAAGCAGTGCACATTTTCAGGTTCACGCCTCGTGACGTCGTTCTGCAGATGACATCACGATGCCTGTGATGTCATCCTGCCTTGTACCGGGTGTTTGTGCTGCAAACAGAAGAGCTCATCCGTCAGCTCTTCCTAAGTCCGTCCTTCCAAGAAATTTCAGCTTGGGGCCCAAGAGATGAGCAGCACTTCTGCTGGATCTCAGGGGGGCACAAAGCCACCCAGCTCACCCTTCGCTACCCACCGTTTACGCTTCTGCCAATGCACCCCCCTCCAATCTGCATCATGCCATTTGTAAAGCCTCCTAAACGAGGGAGGGCCTCAACCCTCGAGATCCCCACTTCTTCTGCCAGCCTCCTTCCCAGGGGCCCTGCAGGGAGGGGCTGTCCTCGGCCGTGCGGGCCAGAAATTCAAGAATGGTGGTTTTCTATCAAAACTTCTTTTCTCATTGCCACTCAGGAAGCGGGCAGTTCCCAGCAACCTACATCTGGGGGAGTCATTCACAGACTT